ACAGACCCCACTCCATTCCCTTCGTATTTTAGTTGATGTTAAGCTAATTAAAATTCATCTTCGTATCATTGAAATTTCATAGGATAAAGTTTGGTTATGTAAATTTTGGAGGGTTGAAGTGGTTAAATATATTTTAGTTAGGATAAGATCTTCTGGAGTATTTTCATTCAATATACATGTAATTAGAATAAGATATTTATTTGGGATGGAGTACTCTGGAAGAGTCATATCTTATTGGAATGAAGCTTTCATATCACTTTGAATTTATCTGTCTTTCGTTCGAAATATTTTATTTAAAAAAAATTCGAAATACTATATTTTTTTAAAGGTCCTTTCTTAAAAAAAAATATTGATATAATGGTGAATAGTAGCCTTTCCCACAAGCCATCCCCCCTCCCTTTCCCCGACAAACAGACTCTATAGGTGACCCCCTTCCTCACAGACAATTGTTACATAGTTAGATCCCCCTTTTTATACCAAGGTACGAGGGAAAACTTTCTATATAGTAGATTTTTCACCGTCTTTCAATTCCGGTTACGTTTATTGCTGCCCATTCTTTGCAGTAATTTGCAATGTTTGAGAAGATATTGATTATCTCAATAAGTATTCATTTTCTTTCAATTTTGAAATAAATCCATTACTGTGTATTAATTCTATTATATATGGAATGATGTGTAACTTTCGAAAAAGTTTCCTGTTGTTGCATAATTTTGTTTGTTTCTTGTTTGCTTCTTTGTTTTTGCTTGAGTTTGTTTTTCCCCTTGGACAATGTTTTATATCTAGTGATAATGAAATAGAAGACATCGTTATATTGTTTCTTTACTACTATTAATTTTTCTGTTCTTGATTTTCCCCAAAATTTTGTTTTTACAGATCGATTTCATTTAATTTTCTGTCAGTAAGATACCTTTATTTGATATTCTGATATCATAGAGATTTCTATGCCGTCAATTAATATTTTTCTTTATAACCATGGTAACAGAAAAGAGAATATACTTCACTGTCAATTACGCAGAAAAGCTAGTAACCTCAATGCACACTTAAAAAATCATTATATAATAGCTGATTCATCTTGTCCTAGGTGTGATTACCATAATGAGGATAATGAGCACTATTTTATGAATTGTCCAGTTTACAGTATACAAAGAAATGAACTAAGAAAAAATTTACAAGAGCTAGGTATACCGTATGAACTAAAGATTCTTTTATATGGGTGTTCGAAGTTATCGTATCAAACGAACATCAACATTACAAATTATGTGCAAGAATATATTAGGTCAACAAAACGTTTTTAAATACATTTCCTTATGATATATATATTGTTTACTATATTTCATTAATACTATGTGTTATGCTTAATTCATCTGGATCTGTGCGTGTCAGTGTGTGCTTGCGTGTGTGTGTCTGTGTGTGTTTCTGTAGATGTGTCTGTGTGTGTTTACCCGCATTGTAATATATATATATATATATATATATATTCACTCAGTCCATTGTATTTTGTAACTTTGATTCTTGTATGAGAGGGTATTTATAGGCATTGCCTGTTACCCAATCGATTCATTATTTTGAATAAATATTGTTTAAACTAATTCATATTTTAAGACCCTCTACTAGAGAAAAAATCTCATCAAAACTATATTTAGGATGCATATTTTCAGGATAGGTACAGCATATGATAAGTGAATGATTTTTAAGACTTTCAAGACTTTATACAACCATTTCTGACGATAAATTAAAGACCAGGTTTTTTTGACATCGGAGAAAACTGCTTTTTCAATAAATATGGAGCTCGGAAATTTTTTATATATTGTGATTTGTCATCTACAAATTTGTTCAAATAATTCTGATTCTACAAGCAAGTCGTCTGAAGTTGATATTAATAAGATACTTGAGTTCCTGATTGACATTATCTTTGTAGTATTTTAATACCAAGTCTTCCAACAATCTGTTGGAATTCTGATGGGCACTAATTGTGTTTCTTTATTTGCAAACCTGATAATATATTCTCCTCAATCAAACTTTATTTAAAAACTTCTACAAGCGAAGAGGAAAACTCTTGCTACATGGCCTTCAGTTCGAAATTTAGATATATCAATGATGTATCACTTAACAATATTTAATTTTATGTCTATGTCGAAACGACACAGTGAACTCAAAATAACAGACACCCAGATCTGCCACATCTGTTTCATATTTGGATTGTTAATTGACTAAAGGGCCAAACTAACAACTACTGTAAACATGACAAAAGGGATGACTTCAATTTTTTATGATCAATTTTGCCTGTTTATATTGTTATACCCTGTATGTCATCTCATTTCATCTATGAAAAATGGACAGTTGATTTTATTACATAAAGAATACAAACTGGTGTCCATGTTCACTAAGCAAGTGAATTCGGCAACGATGAAAAAATTTTAACATTTGCGGGTCAACAGGGGATGATTACCCCTCCTACCCCACCTGTGGAATTTCAGGGGGTCCATGTTTTATGTATTGTTTGTAGGTTTTTTTTTAGATTGATCACTGTTCGTTATCTTCACTTATTAACGTATCGAAGATTCGGGGGTATATAGTTTTTGCCCTGTCCGTCCGTCTGTCTGTCTATCTGTTTGTCCGAAAAATCTTTAACATTGCCCATAACTCTTGATTGGTTGGAGCTATGGCTTTCATATTTCACATGTGTATTCCTTGTGACAAGACCTTTCTTTGGATACCATCATATTTGACCTTGGAGTTTGACCCAGTTTTCCAAATTTTTACCAAACTTTAACCTTGGTAATAATTTTTGAACGGTTGGTGCTACGGCTTTCATACATATGTAATCCTTGTGACAAGACCTTACTTTGGATACCTACAACTTTGATCCTTTGACCTTGACCTCCTTTTGATAAACTTTAAACTTGGCCATATCTTTTGAACGGTTGGTGCTAGGGCTTTCATATTTCACATGTGCATTTCTTGTGAGAAGGCCTTTCCTTGGGCACCATTAATTTTGACCTTGACCTTGATGTTTGACTTACCTTTGAAATTTTTTTACCTTTTCCATATCTTTTAAATGGTTGCTGCTAAGGCTTTCATATTTCACAGGAATATTCCTCGGGACAAGAACTTACTTTGGGTACCAACATATTTGATTTGCATTCGAGAAAGTTTAACCTTCGCTATAAGTTGCCATATACGGGGGTATCAGTGTTTCACAAACACATCTTGTTTCATTAGTATCTACATGTACTAATTTCTTTTTGCATTTAGATTGAACCTTATTACTAGCTTGAATTTCCAACTAGTTTACAGATCAATAAATTACAATCAAAAATGAGAAAATTTTCCTTAAAAGGTATGTTTCCAACAAAATACATGTAAATGAAATCATATGTAAACAATAGTGGGTTTCTTCATTAAATTTCTATATCAACACTATGCTAGTATATTTGTTAAAGCAGCAGCTAGATGGGACAGAAACTCTCTAATTTTAATGACTTTTGTCACAGCAACACCGTCGTTTTCATAGTCATTTATCCTTAAACATGTCTTAAATTACATTTTCTATCATTTATATGTACTTTTATCTGTAAAAATGTTTGAGATCATGGTATAAAAAATCCATTTAAATCCACAAAGTAAAATGGGAATTTTCACTTTTTTGTTTCCATGGTAACACCACTATTTCCCTATATATATATATATATATATATATAGAGAGAGAGAGAGAGAGAGAGAGAGAGAGAGAGTAGAATAGAATAAAATAGAATTTATTTCCAAATTAGGGCCTCATGGGGCATGACATATAACAATCATGATTACATATAAATACGCATAAAACACATTAGTACAATTTACATGTAACTAATTAGCTCGTTTTTCAGTTTGTATTATAATGATATGATGACTAGATACAACGCAACTTAGAGAAACAATTCGTTGTTCAGTTTGTATAATGTATTATGATGATTCTAGACATACAAGTTGAAAAAAAATGTGTAAAAGATAAGTAAACTAATCATATATATTTTTTTCATACTAACATTTATGCAAAATAATGAATGTAACATTATAAGTAGGATATAAGCTACATCGATGGTGTGAAGTTTAAGTATATAGGTTACTAAGAAATACTCTAATGGCTTGCATAAGAGAAAGAGTCATACAAGTAAAATTGATTCAAAGCATCAAGTATGACGCAAACAAAATTTAGCATTTCAAAACAATATTTACTTGTTGAACAACTTTCAATTTTTATTCATCAAGCACTTTTACCACTTTAAAATTATTATCCGGAAAATCCTATCGATTTGCGTTCATATCTTACTCACTCCCAGGTTGGAGAGTACCTATTGCATGTAAACTCTTTTTATATGATCATAAATCAATATTTATCTGATGAGAAATGAAAATGAAATTGAAATATAATAACAACAATTTAGACTTATATTAAAGCCAATTTTCAAAATATTTTACTCATGATTTTATACATGTTATATTAAAGAATTATTTGAACTAATCGAAAAATAACGTCTCATTTCCCCATGTGCACTTTCTAACACAACCACAAATAGATCGGCCGCTGATGTGGCCGATAATTATGCTCAATTTTGTTCAAAGAAACTTGTACAGGTACATCTAATTTAACAAGGATAATGGCAAAAAATGATTACATATCCATGTACAAAGAAAAACAGCAAGAAGTAACAAGATGCGGTGCTAAAGGACATCAATTGGTCCACTTTTACTTGGAACAATGTTCCATCGAACATATATATGTTGAAGTACAATAACATTATAAGGAAAAATCATACCCTGCTTAAGAAATATTTCATGAGTTCATATATATATATATATATATATATATATATATATATATATATATATATATATATATATATATATATATATATATATATATAAACATTTTATACACTAAGATAATTTTAAAAATTAAAATAATAGATAATTTTTTTTCTATAAAAAAAAATAGAAGAATAAGTTGCAATCTCTAACGACAAAATTGTTAATAAATCTGCTTTTCCTTTGACTTGACTTACTAGGAAATCAGACAATGTCTCTAGGTGCAATGTTGAAAAATAGTTTCTTTCTTTAATAATTTCCGAACTCTGGTGTGACACGTTTTATTTTTTCTGTAATTCATGAAGGTAAAAAATATGGATGGCATCCCGTGCATTCGAAATAACTGCCAAATCATTATGTGTTAAACCTCTCATGTTATCATACGTGTCTCCATTGAACTTCTTGGTTGTTGTTTTTCCTTTAGGGTTCTGTCTCTATATCTTCTGTGTGACAATATTCATCATCTAAAGCCCCAGTATCCACTTCCACTTTCCCATACGTGTGTTCCGTCTGTAAATCTTGTGGATGACTATACTCTCCGTCTATATCTTGTTCCGCAGAATTAACCTTTGTTTGGTCGTACGTGTTTTCTGTCAGAATAGGTCCAATGTGATACTTATCACCTTCAAGGCCAGACTCAGGCTCTGTTACCCCATATACATCTCTAATGGATTGATCGTAGATGTGATCAACATTCCCATGACCTGAGGCCGCAGATTCGTGTGTAGAAGCACAGTCATATACGCCCCCGTTTGGATCCCTTTTTTGTTTACTGTCTCTAAGATGATTGTAAAAACCTAAGTCCCCGGTTTGGTCCTTTCTTTGTTCCTTGTCTCTGAGGTGATTGTAAATACCTATTTCACTGTATTCCTCTTTAGAAACTGCTTCAAAAGGTTCTACAGAAGTATAGTGATCTGTCTGCAGCCCTTGTATTGTGTCATCTCCAGAAGCTTTATCATCACCTTCCTGATAGGTTTTGTTATAAAATCTTGTCGACTTTAAGGCTTTATGTGTCTTTTTTCCAAATATTATTTTCCTGAAATAATAAACAAAAGTATAATTAACAAGAAGTATGTGAGCGAATGCTCACTAGTAATATCCCCGCTCCGATGTGAATATACCCTCTCATATTGACATCGAATTCAAACAAAAATGAATTCTACCATAAGGCATGCCTAAACAATTAAGGTTATGCTAAAGTTCCAAGCATCTGCGCTGAGTAGTTGCTGAGAAAACTTGACGGAAATTTGGCGCACAGACGCACGGATAAACAGGAAGTTGACATCAGATTCGAATAAAAATGAATCCCACCATATGGCATGCCTAAACAAAGAGTGTGCTAAAATTTCAATCATCTGTGATGAGCAGTCGCTGAGAAAACTGTGACGAAAATTTGTTACGGACAGACACAAGGGTAAAACAGTATACCCCCTCTCCTTCGGAGCGGGGGTATAATAATTTCATTCAGTGCTAAGTGTGTCAAGCAAAGATAGCAAGCAGGTGAATGAAATTGGGAATTTATTGCAAGGTACCAAACTGGCATTTTTGTGAAATGATTGACTTCGACAAAGTGTATAACCATGATTACTTACATAGAAATATCTATTAAATCAACCATTGATGAACTGTAACATAGTAAGTCAAACAAACATTCATCCATGGTTAAATTTTAAAATGTGAAAACCCAGGAAAATCTCCCTTGAATTTTCAGTCTTCGTAAATATCAAAATAAAGAGCTATATACCGGAACTTTTGGCTTTATAAAAGTTTGAGTATACATATTTGTATAGAACCTTGACTAAAACACGTGTTCAGTTGTTAAATCCACAACAATATACCAAAACTAATCTATTGACATAAATAGGATGCGAAAAAACTCAGGAACATCCATTATAACATGTTTCAAACAATCAAAATCAGAAAAAAAATTGCAGAACATCTATAATGAAAAAAGTGAAGACAACGAACAGTGATCGATCTACAAAAAATCTATAAACAATACAATTCTGTAAAGAGGGCATAAAACACGGACCCCTGGAAATTCCAGAGGTGGGATCAGAGGAGTAGTAAGCATCCCCTGATAACTGGTCACACCCGTCTAGAGCTCTATGCATTGATCCGGTAGATGGAACATTCCGTAGTCAAATTCAGTATTAAAAAAAAAGGCCTAACAATTGGTATGAAACAAGTCAGCCACAATACGACCAGTGATAGGTTATATTTACTTAAAAGGGGTCATTATAACGACCATAAAATTTAGTAAATGCTGACTTCAAACGAGGTTGTTGAAATCCCAGTAACATCAACTTATCTGTCAGTAGCCTGCTTCGTTTTAAAAATTGATCGGATTCGGAGCATGCTCTTGAGTATCGAATAAGTTGAGAGATATAAGCACCATATGCAGATGATAGCGGGATATTACTCTATAAATAAGGAAAGTTGACGATAGAAAACTTGAAGTCATCTCGTTTGTCATACAATTTAGTTGTTAGTTGGCCCTTATCGTAAATAATCAGTTAAACATCCAAATATGAAACAGATGTGGCAGACTCTGTGGTGTCTTTTATTTGAAGTTCACTGGGATATATCGAATCGACATATGAATGAAAATAACCATTGTAAATGACAATACATCGTCGATATTTAAATTGAAGGCCACAGAAAGTGTTTTCTTCTTCTCAAGTAAAAGTTTTTGAATAAATTCTGCTTCATAGATTATAAAAACAAGTGGGCTAATAAAAGAGCACAATTCGTGCCCATCGATATTCCATCAGTTTGTTGGACGAACTGGTCTCCGAAGACTGCATAAATGTTGTCAATGAGGAACTCTAGCATCCTTTTAATATCAACTTCAGAGTACTTGAGTGTAGAATCAGAGTGATTTTGACAAAGTAATTTTGTTGATGACCAATCACAAGATAGGAAAATTTTCGACTTCCATTTTTATTAAAGGAGCAGTTATCTACGATATCAAAAAGTCTAGTTTATAATTTATCGTGAGGAATGGTTGTATACAGAAAAGTCGTACATTTGATGTTAACAACTTTTGAAAAATTTGGCGATTTTACCAATAAAAGATCCGTCCTGTGAAGCGTCAAGTCAGGGCAATTTTTGGTCTACATAGATTTTGTTTGAGAAAAACTTCAAAAGGCATAGATATAATGTAGACAGCTATGTATGACTTTGAATAAAGTTCACAGAGCGTTATTATGTTATATCATATTATTATGTAATCCTGTTCATCTCCACTTTCTACATCAGATTATCATATGTGTCAATTTACCTGTCTATCTGCTTCTTACCTTATAAAGCAGTATCCAGAAAGAGAGAGGATCAAAAGAATGATGCTTATTGTAGTCACTGTGATTATTATGTCATCTTTGTCCATATCTAAAATAAATAATAAACTTAATCAACCATACGCCAGAGAAATACAAAAAACACTATCTGAATGCGTAGGGATCGAAATACCTATGACCGTTACTGCATAAAATAATGAAGGGCTTAGATGGTAGATTATTTACATGGTTATTAAGGATTTATTCACAACAATCTTATAATGTTTTCAGGACAGCTAAAACACGTAAACTGAGAAATGTTATTCTTGTCTTCCACACCAGATTTGGGACTACTATTACTTCCAAAGTTGCTCAATATTACTATCTGCCTGTATTGCATTATACATGTATAACTCTGGAACTCCTGGCTATTTAGAAAGCTGTTGAAATTCATGTGCTATTGAAATCATATAGAAACGGTGTGTTCATAGAAACTACGGCTTTGGAACTCTTGATATGGATAAATCCTTATTGTCCTATTTACGGGACTTAATCTTGACTAAAGGATATTATATTCAAGATCAGAAGTCAAGGCCACTGGATTCTGAGGTATTAAATATTACAAATGAACCACATTCTACACAATTTTGAAAAGAATTCACGTTTCTAGCGGAAGGTCATGATTCCTTAAGTATTAGGAAATAATCATCTCTATAAGAGAATCCTTAAGTATTTCTTTAAAATGGAGAAACAAAATAAAAGAATATGAAAGTCATATTATATTAGAAGTAATGAAATATGGAGAGAACGAACAGCAACGAAGACCAAAAGTCCATTGACAGGTCCGTAGCAACCGTTTCATAAGTAAGGGTAGGGCAAACCTCTCCAAATAAATCTGGCAGGCAAAAAACCCTCCTTAACTGACTAAATCCTGGAATTTGCCAGTGCTCGACCTTGCAGCAACAAAAAGTGTGTGTGTGGGGGGGGGGGGGGCAACCAGCATATAAATGAAAATTTACTATAGCAAAATACGATACTTAGAAAAAAGTGTCCCCCCGCATTCTACGGGCCTGATTGAAACCATATATATCGGGAGCAGAGCATACACGAACCTCTTTCAGCATCAGAGATGGGGCCAGGTGCCATGGAGTAAGAAACTACATTCTCCTGCAATATGTGGTATTGACTTCCTTTGTGTTAATTTTGATATTTGACACATATTATATCTGAATGATGGTTCAGGCAATATTCAAAATAGACAGAAGTATCTGTATAAAGAATATCAGTGTTTCCTACATTAACATTCTCACAGCTCTATGTACTTCGTACCTGATTGGTTAGACGTGATGTTGTACTGTGTACTTCGTACCTGATTGGTTAGATGTGATTTCTGTACTCTTTATATCCGATTTCTCAGAAGTAGTATCCATTGCGTTCAGTGTTACAGTACTAAAGTCGTTTAGGATTTCTTCTCCTGAATTCTTTTCAAAGAAACATTATCTGAATGTACCATCTAAAAAGCATGTACATTTAATTTTCTTAAGTTTACCATGGGCATTGTATAAAATTATGTTGTCAACCATTAAAGAGAGTGATAGAAATTGTTTGTCATATCTTTATGTTTAATATCATATAATCCTTTGTCATAATTGAAAACAAATAAAACAATACCTGTGACTGTTTACATACAGCAATAGCTTGGCCGCCACATTCTTTAGTAAAGCTACATCGTTGATTGGAACACTTTTGACACTGTATCACATTTTCCTCTATATTATCTGCCATATCATCTTTATTGGGAAAAACATAAAGTCATTAATGATTCGATGAATATAAATTAATTTATATACAAAAGTAAAATGTTCATTTCATTTGAAAATAGAAAGTAAAACATGCTCAAGCATACCTTTATGGATTTGGATATTTTTGTCTTGAGAACATACTCACCACTTACAAGCACTGGTTGTCTTGTAATGCCTATCCAAATATCGGAATTAGGAATACCTCTGATATTATTGATGACCTGACAAGCACCTGTTGTATCATTAATGCTTAGGTTTCCCAGTAAATACGCCCCTGAATATTTACAGCTCTGTAGGGATTCTTTCCATCCTGTGGTTTCTTTATTTCGACGACTTTCAAACGATGCATCTGAATATTTTCAGAAAATGGTTATATTAAAATCATCTTCCTTAATACCTTCAGTAGATTACTGCATATCTATATTCTATATTCATCATTATGATGGAAGTTCGAATTACAATAGAATACATTTAGAACAGTCGCATCAGATGTATAATATATTGCCTGCATGTAATGAATGTCAACTTTAATATTAACGTTACGCTAATTTGTTCCACTCACTTGTGTCGGTACACGTCTTTCTGTACGCAATTTCGCAAATGGTACTTTTATATTCACCCTCAAAGGCTCCATTCCTTTTGGAACATTTTATCCTCTGACATCGATCTGTGTTATTATCTTAGAAAACAACATTAATTTTATTCTCAATGCAAAGGATGTTAACACGCTATGGTTGATTTATCACAGGTATCACATAATCGGCTGGTACATGTCATGCTTCTGATATTCTTTGTTCATAGGCCAGGCCTGTAGAACGCAGGGGCCCGGGGAGGGGGGGGGGGGGGGTTTAACCAAGAATTTTAATCTGGGTTGAAAAATCATTCAATGTTGAATACTGAATCGGGGATACATTTTCAACGTTAAAAATTGAGACCAAAAGTCGTAAAATTTTGACCCGGCGGGAGTCATTTTCCAACAGCTTGGTAATTTTCTTCTCGGCTTCATGACCTCAAAAATACTTACTAATCATGCGTTGTCAACGTATACTTACATTTTTCAGCCGTTCTGGTTGTTCTGTAGACGTTGTAATGTGAAATTCCCCCACAGTCTCGTACGTATACGTCTTTATTCGTGTCGTTACATTCAATAGTACAATATTGAGATGATTTAGAACCTTCAGTTGAGGTTAAAACATTCAAACAGAGACATCTCTCAGACTGGAATAAATAATATGCTGTAAAATGTTGCATCACTTTTGTAGACTCCATTCATATTAATTCAGATTTTTACTTTATACATTTTCTTCCATAAACAGTGCAGTGGCTTTTTAGCTCACCTGAGCCGAAGACTCAAGTGAGCTTTTCTGATCAAAGAGTGTCCGGCGTCCGCTGTCGTCTGTAAACTTTTCACATTTTCGACTTCTTCTCAAGAACCACTGGACCAATTTCAACCAAACTTGCCACAAAGCATCCTTGAGTAAAGGGAATTCAAGTTTGTTCACAGGAAGTGCCGCGCCCTCTTTCAAGGGGAGATAATTAAGAATTGGTGAAAATTTGGTGGCATCTTTTAAAAATCTTCTTCTCAAGAACCACTGGGCAAGAAAAGATGAAACTTATGTGATAGCTCTATTACATACTCTAGATTTAAATTTGTTCATATCATAACCCCAGGGGGTAGGGCGGGCCACAAGAGGCGGTGAAAGTTTTACATAGGAATATATAAGAAATGTCTTTAAAAATCTTCTTCTCGAGAACAGCAAGGCCATGATTAGTCATATTATTATAGAAGTATCCTCAGGTAGTGTAGATTCAAGTTTATTCAAATCATGTCCCCTTGGGGTGGAACAAGGCCACAACAGGGCGGGGGGGGGGGGGGGTCAAAGTTTACCATAGGCATATATTGGAAATATTTTTAAAAATCTTCTTCTCAAGAACAGCTAAGCCATTATTAGACATATTAATACAGAAGTATCCTCAGATATTGTAGATTCAAATTTGTTCAAATCATGACCCCTGAGGTACGGTGGGCCACAACATTGGGTCAAAGTTTACATAGGAATATATAGGTGTAATGGTTAAGTGGCATTTGAGTAAAACGCATTGAAGACTTCAAATAGTGGAATGACCTGACAACTCTTGGAATGGACTAGCCTAAGGGTATATAAGGCAAAGCTTTGGGAAAGTCAGGCATTCAGAAGGTAGCTGAAGAAGTTGGACGAAGAATCAGAAATAAAGAAGTTAAGGTATTCCATCCTAATAGCAAAAGATTGAATAAATTGAATACATAACAGGTGGTAGGTGTTGAATACTCAGTATATTTAGACATAATTCCCATTTATTACTATTAGTATGTAGGGGTGAGATGTGTTATGACCTTAAATTTGGTAAGAGTTATCTCCCTCTGTTTTGAATTATTCAACAAATTAATTTTAAGAAACTTATCTGGTAAAAAAAATCGTTTTCAATTGTCGTTCTATTTCTAATGTGGTTTAGTGCATTTTTCCACCCCAGTATTTATTGATATTCTTATTATTTGAATTTTTTTTAAAACTTGCTCCATAGACTTCAATGCAATCTTTGTTAAGTGCTTACTGCTAAGTAAATTACATTTTTGAAACTTTCTCTTGGTAAATCCTTTTCTACTGTAAAATGCCTTAAATTAATATCAAAGTATTATGTATGTGACGGATATTTATGGATATTGGATGGAAAACTTTAAGACAGAGTAAAAGGAAAAATCTATATATTCCTTGTAAGAACCTGATCATACCATTACATAGGAAATATCTTTGAAATCTTCTTCTCAAGAACAACTAATCCATTATTAGTCATATTTATACAGAAGCAACCTTGGATATTGTAGAATCAAGTTTGTTCAAACTATGACCCCCAGGGGTTGGGGGCACAACAGAGGGTCAAAGTTTTGCATAAGAATATATAGGAATCATCTTGAAAAAAATCTTTTGCTTAAGAACAGCAAAGCCATCATTAATCATTAATTATAGAAGCATCCTCAGGTAGTGTAGATTCATATTTATTAAAATTTACGATGGGTAGGGTGGGCCCAATATAAGCAATCAGAGTTCTTCTGTTTAAGAACAGCAAAGCCGTGATTACATGTAAAAATATTGATATAGAAGCATCCTGAGGTTGTGTAAATTTAAGTTTTATGTTTGCCCCCCCCCCTTAAAACTTTTCAATACTGAACTGATATCTGCTTCTCCCTTGCCAGTGTGCTCAGGTGAGCGATGTGGCCCATGGGCCTCTTGTCAAAGTATTATAAGCCAAACGCGGTACTCTTACACCTCATTAATTCAGATTTCTAGTCAATTCATATTTCAATCTTTAACAAATATTTGGAAGGAAGGAAAATATTCCTTTATTGCATTGCAATTAAACATTTCTAGACATTTAATTAAGGGTGCCTTTGGACTTTTCTTCCATTTTCAAATTTGTCAGGGTGCTATTTTTGTCGATTTCAAAATTTCATGAAGGTTAGTAAATCAGGGACGTATATACTATGTATATACTACATATTAGTACTTGTATACAGGTCCCTGAATAAATACGCTTTAAAAGTTCTAAAACTTTCATTTTTCACTTTTCAGTATAAAATTCCTCGGCATGATTAAATACAATTTTTATGTGATTTCAAGTTCTTTTTACCTGTTTTATATTTCTTTATCACTGCGTTCAATGCTTTGTCATTTTCATGTGAACATTGTGAAAGTGTATTGACATGCATTCACAGTCAAAAAAAGATATGACGATACTACAACTGTATTTGGAATAGATACACTCAAAATTTTTTCGCAGACCTTCGTCTCTAAAAATAATCCATATGTCCAGATTCACTTATATTCTTGATGTTACCCAATCCTGCATCTAAATAGCATTTAAGCAACAAAAATTTAAACAGAAAAGGTTACTGACTGATCATTAACGAAACATATTAGCAATTTGTACTACATTTTGTTTTGTGTGCCATAAATAGTGGATGGTATACTGTAGCTCTCTGGTAGTCCGTCCCATTTTTTTTCGACCAGCGAGCTTCAGATTAGCAACTATATATGCCTAGTGCAGATAATTCATCATTAAAATAAAACAGTGTTTTGTATAACGAGCTTTTTGTTGGAGAGGGGGGGGGATATTACGATAACTTGATATCTGGTTATTCATATGCGATTATTATTATTATTATGACATTATTCATGTGTCTTCTATTCGATAATTTATCATTCCTTTTCGTTAAGTTGTTATTCCTATTCGAAAACATGTGATTCCTATTCGATAATTTGGTCATTCCTATTCGACAATTGTCATTCTTATTTGATAATAAATTATTTATATTCGATAACTATTCCTATTGAAAAACATTATTACTAAGAATGCAATTTTCACACACACTTTTGAATCGTAAACTGTTATAGATAAGTTGAACTTGATAAAGTCTAAATTTTTAATGTAACACAATTATTGAATAAGAAAACATCACGTAGGAATGATAAAATTATCGAATAACAGGGATAACAAGGTTATCGAATAGGAATCGTATGTTCTCGAATAGGAATAATATGTTTTCCAATAGGAATAACAAGTTTATTGCATATAAATCACATAATTATCGAATAAGAATGACAAAATTATTGAATAGGAATGACAAAATTATCCAATAGGGATCACATGTTATCGAATATGAATAACATGTTATCGAATAGAATAGAAAACGCATGTTTTCGAATATGAATGATATATTTTGGAATAAAAAAAATATTTTTTTCAATAGGAATAACAATTTATCGAATAAAAATGACAAATTATCGAAAAGAAATCAATTTTTTTCGAATAGGAATAACAGCTTATCAAATAGGAATAACAGTTTATCGAAGAGGAATCACATTTTATCGAACAGGAATGATGTGTTTTAGAATAAGAATAATAAATTCTTTGAATTAGAATTACATAAAGGTATAAAAATGCAACGTTTTACACGCCATACATTACAAGTGTTTTACCTTTAGGAAAATGTGTGATATATATACCTTCACTGCAAATGTGTCGAACTGGTTACATATCATCTGACATAGTCCAATGTTTGGACTCCTCTTCATTACAGTACTACGATTCTTTACAAATCCTACAGAGCTATCCTCAAAACAGCCTGAAATTTCAATTTAAATTGAAGAAAAATTTAGTTGAATTATTGCTTCTACGTACATACATGCATTACATTTGAATTTTCAAACATGCTTTTCTGTTTAAATTTTATCAGTCCTTTTTTCTCAAAATGTCAGTGTAATAACAACGAAAAAGACCAACAAAATGGCGAACAAAGCATTATTTTATTTTAAGTTTTTTTTTTAAATTTGTTTACCAATGATGTGAATCCAATGAGAGGGGGCGTAATAAACTCCTGTCCAGTATTCCTCACTGTGATTGGTTGTGACGTCAGTTAATATTGAATTCTGATTTGTACAGAAATCATGAGCATCTTTCCATGTCAATTTCCAAGGAGAGATTTTCTCAAATTCAAACAACACACTACCTTAAAAGATGTATGAATTATATTTTACGTTGTTCTAAAAATAAATGTGTTTTTTCTGTCCCTGATTAGTAACAGAATTCTTTAAATTGATTCAGAGTATTCTAAAGTTGCTGATACTATTTCAGGGTGAAATTTTTTTGTCATATTAAAACGTTTTTATGATGTACAAACTAAAATGGTAGCTACAAAGATCAAATATTCTTGTATGTGAAATTTTAGGGGAAAATGTCTAAAAGTAATATTTTGAAATCACAATTATATGATTAACAAATGACTATCGTATTTCAGTTAAAAATTGAAATTTTCAATGAGTAAATTGACATTTAAATGATTATGTACATTGTACGTTTGTTGAGGAAATGTCCATGTAAAAGAAGTCTTGCGAAGCACCACATTCATATGATAGAAATCGTGCAGAAACTACATGCACATTTGTTATATGCAAAAACACTAACAATTTGGCATAGAAGACTTATTTATAAGATAGAAAATATTGAAAAGTGCAGAGAGGATGTTAAAATATCAAAAGGTCTAGAATAACATGTAAAAAGAGACAAAGAAAACAAAAGTGTAAGAAAAATGTTTTTTAAAAATAGTTCAGCCATCAAAGTGCGGAAAATGTGTTTGAAAGGAACTTCAGATGTCAAAGGAAAGCGTTTCAATAGTATTCGAAGCATGTTAGCTTCGTAAAAGAAAGAGGGCGCATTTGATTGACATTCGGCGG